ATGCTTCTATGTAAGTCACGCCTCCTCTCCTATCTTTCATCCACCAGTCCACTCTCTGAGGCAGCTGCACGGGGGCCGTAGAGAGACGATTTCTGATCGTGTTACAAGACACACGCCTCCCACTACGTCTTGTGACTCAACTTCGAGCTCCGTCAGCAGACGCTCACTAACTAGCATACTAGACGGAATAGAATTACTGGGAGACTGGGACGACCGTTTCTGGTACAGTGGACGTCATCAGTCCCTCATCGCAAACCTTGATGTTGCTACTTTTGAGGCTCTATCTCGCGATCCGTTGAATGCTGGTAAGCAAGAAATGACCATTTTATTTTGTTTCTGTCCGAACTTGCTTGTCCTGATCACTAACGAACAGCATCTAAGGGAAGTGCTGTTCTTGTAAAATTATCGATGAACATCTCTTTTTATGATAATATATACTTGTAAAAGAAGTTTTGTGTAAATATCTGTCATTATGTTTAGACTATTGCAAGCTGTTGAAGAACGAAATGACCCATAAAGTATTGAGGAACGTTAGATGGTACTGATAAACTGAGATACCTATTTACATTAAAAAACGAGGAGAATTCTGGGTACACATATATTAGTATTAGCTGGAAGGCAGGCAGCCCAATAAATTTAATTTCAAGAAAAGGCGTTCTTTGGAAAAATGTACTAAATAATCATTCCTTATTTTCCCAAAGAACACCTTTCCTTGAAAATACTAGTATTAGCAGTGGACATCGCAAAATGTAGCATTAGCGAAGTTATCCTACTGACGAGTGAGAGGGAATCCACAGCACGAGCAGTTGAATGTTAGGCAGTAATGCACTACTGTGCACTTCTTATTGGTACAGTGACATATTAATCACCCTCATTGTTTTAACAGAGGAGACGGTGTTACGTGCTTAAGTATACACTTCAGAGGCATTCATAAAAGCATTTACATCCATTTACCTGATGGGGTCAGAGCTAGCAAGTTGTACACTTAAAACGAACTATTCATATCAGTTCGAAGTTAAGTCTTTTAAGCAGTTTTTCCCCATATTACTTAAAAAACAGAGCGTAAACACATACTGATGTTGGCCAAATACGTGACTGAGTTATAGCAAGTCGAATGTGCTAATAGTTTATCTTCATCATACTGTTAAAAGAGAATAAGTAAAAAATACGAAAAAATCTTTAAATCGCGCATGGTTGCCCTAAGGTATATGATTCATTTCAAAAGAAAACCTTATGGTGGCGAGTATCTCTACAAGAATTGCGATGTGTGCATCACCACATATGCAGCATAGTCTACAAAACGATAAATGCATAAATTAACTTGAGTTTTGCAATTCATACCCGTATACATGATGTACCTCGAAATGAACTGCTGTCTACCCTAGTATTTAACTCGTGGCATTATCTGTTTTCTTAAATATGAAAATTATCTACTGTTATTTCCTTAAATCAATTTTTCGCTGCAATTGTACTGCCTTGTTTTGACTACCAGCTGAAATAAAAGGAGAAAGAGCATCCTCGGCTGCAAAAATCACCGCCCACCCTTTAGAAAATCCCCGTTGTGTTAAGATAGAGGCAGCTCCTCCCCCAGTTTCCCTCCTATTCAAAGAGTTCAGTCGATCCTGAGCGGAAACCGAACGCGCTAATCTGCATCATTCATAAGAGACAATGCTCAATGCATCCAGAAATTGTAATCCGTTGCAACTCCTCACTTTACACTAAAATGGAGTAGGCGGTTTCCTTCAAAGTTTTTAAAGGAAGAAGCTTAAGAAAACAGGTGTACATCCGTTAGTACATAGATGTACTCCGATCTGATCTAAGATTCAAAACTCGCGGGTTCAAAACTCGAGTGTGGCAGCAGTTTCTGCGGCTAAACTGGAGTCAAGTGTCTGCGACTGACGAAGGAAAATGACCCAGAAATACGCGTATCTCGCAGTCCTAACGTTTGCCAGTAATAC